GAAGGCCAGACAGAATGCAGCGGGATGCCTCAGACACAGCTGCCAACCTGGTGGGGGGCACTAAAGCTAAGAGGCACCACCCCTGGCCATCGGACCCAGGGAAGTATCTCTGATCTGAGCCTTGTTAAAACAGTAGGAACGGGGTTTAAGAATAGCCTCCTGGTGTCTATCTCTGGGTAACTGGCATCACAGTCAGTGCCCAGATCATCCGTTCCCAGTTGGTTTGCAGTGTGTGTGTCTGGCGGGGAAGTGTGTGCTGTTTACGCATCTTATTTTCTCTTATGATAATACATCTGCTGTGTTTGGAAACAGACCACTGTACGCCATTACATCTGTTGATTAGCTCACCGATTGCTTTTGATGGACTGGACGCAGGGAAATGCATTACTGATGCTCAATACATCTGCCTTATGACTGCCAGTGTAAACAGCTCTGGGACGCTTCTGTAAGCGATTGCTGTTAATCCATCAGGGAAATGGTCTTCTCGGCCCCGACTATTGCCTTTTTCTAATTATCGTGGCTGCCAGCTTTGATAGCTATGCCCTATCTGTCACATATGTATGGATTGCAGCCCGCTTGACTGAGCGAGGATTGCATGGTAATGTTAACCGGTGAGCAGGTAGAGTGAGCACATCGGGGAAAAGCTTCATTTGTCAGATGACTGTGGTCTGCCTCTTCGGGCATTCATCATGCATCAGCAGCCTTAGTGTGGATCGCACGACTCCAACTTTTTTTTATATGTTACAAACCCTTCATATGCCCTGAATGACAGTAGCAGAGTGCAACTTGACATCCAAACTGGTCACCATGGAAAGGGCTCAGCAGAGTTGCTGCGAGAAGCTAATTTTCATCTGTGTTTTAATCAAACAGGCAGTGGGTTCGGCTAATTGTTCTGGGAAGACATCCAAGTAGAAAGACTTTTTTTCCCAAGCCTTGGCCCAGTTATTTGCAGAGAAGATGAACAGCTTGATGGCTACTGTCTGGTCTAACTTGAGTTGGAAGGATCCAAAATACAGTAATCGGAGTTGGTGGACTCTTTGTCTTGTGAGGAACTTTTTGCAATGGTAATAGTCCGTGCCACCGCCAAGTATCCTCTGTAACTTCAGAGATCTGATGGAAAACGTCAGATTCTTTGCAGCAGTGGATACATCAGCTTATCTGCCCACGTCCCGAAATGTCTCACATCATAGCTTATGCTGAAATAATGTCAGCACATTTACTCCTTTGAGCACGATATGAAAACACAGCTTCATACAGTCATTACAGTCAAACTGGCGACTATTCCCTCCATTACTTGCACCAATTGTCCCTCGGCCTTTTGCTATATCAGCTACGGATATAAGGGTTCCGATTCAGCATATCATTCTGAGGCCTGGCTCTGTGCAAGTACAACGATGATTCAGCAAAGACAGAAACAGAGATATGATTAAAATAATTAGAGAGACAGGAAGTTAAGGAATGAGAAGAAAATAAAGAACTACCAAAACCTGTTATAAAATACTTTGAATTCTGTCAAATTTTACAAAGGAGCTGCAAACATATTGAATTGTGTTTAACTAGACCCTCCAGAAAAACGCGATTCTGCGATCGCAGAATTTACCGCATAATCAGCAAAATGGCGCAGATTTTTAAAAGGCCGCATATTTATCAAAAGGCCGCATAATCCCCGCATTTTTCCACAAAAGTTGAGAAGAAAAAAAGTTAACTCGTCTTGACGTGACGTCATCAGCTCGCGCATCACAGAATGTAAACAACACTGTATAGAGTGAACGTGTGGAGCTCACACGATAGAGAAAACACCAAGATGAAAAAATCTAATCCATCTCATTTACCGACGAACATTTCTTAGACCCTCAAGAAAAACGTGATTCTGCAATCGCAGAATTTACCGCATAATCAGCAAAATGGCGCAGATTTTTAAAAGGCCGCATATTTATCAAAAGGCTGCAT